CAGCCCATTAGGTTGTACCATTTTATCCCTATCACTTTGATTTAGTTTTCTTATTCTTTTTTACTCTACCTTTATTCTATTTTAGTTTCCTAAATGGTATGGCATTCAATACTAGGTGAGAGAGAAACAGTATTTCAATTTTCTGTATGTCCTGCACATATGGTGAACTGACAATAAAAATCTTTGATCTTGATCGTGGGAGCTGTAACAGATTTTGCCCCAGTGCCTACACTTCTGTCTCTCACAGTGCTGGATGTGCTAGATTGGTCTCAAAGAGCTGCTCTGTTCTGAATGAGTCTCTTGGTACTTGTAATCTGTGTTGTACATCCATATGTGTGTATGTGGATGAGCTGGTTATCTGGCTATGCAGGCTGATGCCGGAATACAAAGGCAGAAGTGAATGCAGGAGAAACTTTGATGGATGGGTACTGAAGAAGAGAAGAAAAGGTTAAAGGTGGTAGGTCAAAGGGTGTATAGATGACAGCAAGGAAGTGAAAAATGAGGGTGGAAGAAAATAAAGTTCCTTGTAATAATTTTGTTAAAAGAGCTACATCAGTCAGCCATACCATCATGACCACCTGCCTAATACTGTGTCCACAGGAGTCAGTGCAGCGGTTGGTTGGCACTCATGTCACTCTGCAGCTCACTGTGCATCTTCTGTGAATCTCTTTGCTTCCATAATTCTAATGTCAGAAAGAGCACAAATGTGTTGACGATTCATTGAAAAACAGGTAAAAGGAGTGAAAACTCTGGTTGTGAGGTCGAGTTAGAGATAAGGTTTTAGACCAGTCCTTTCAAGTGAGCGTTGACCCTGTCACCAGTTCACCACCTGTCCTTCCTTAGACACTGTTGGTAGGTACTAACCACTGCAGACCAACAACACCCACCAAGACCTGTAGTGTGGGAGATGCTCTGACCCAGTCATCTCACATCACAGTTTGGTCCTTGTCAAAGTCACTCAGATCCTTATGCTTGTCTGTTTTTCCTGCTTCCTTTACATCAACTTTGAGGACTGAATGTTCACTTGCTGCCTCATATACCCCACACACTGACAGGCGCCACTGTGATGAGATAATCTGTCATTCACTTCAACCGGTCAGCGGTCATAATGTTATGGCTGATCGGTGTAGATCAGAGCACTAGGGCTAATATCTGTGAGATAAATGAAAAATGTCAGCATCTGTTTAGCAGTACAACTTCGCCTTTTCTGCTGCATGTAGCATGGGATACGCATGAGGCACAGCTCCAGACAGCAGATTTCCTTTCCCCTGGTGTGTTTCTGTCCTGGTGTGAGTTCAGGCAGTTAAGACCTGAGATGGCTCCCAGCTGCCAAAAGATAAAAAGATACCACTGTAAAGCACTGAGGTCAGGCATTACAATTTAAAAAAAAAAAACATGACAGTTGAAAACTTACTGAACACTTTAAAAGAATAAATGACCAAAGGAGAGAGTTTAGTAATATAACTGTAGACTAAAAAGCTAAATGAAAATCTGCAAAAACAAGCTATGAAATTTCTTCACAATTGTATTCCCAGAAAAGGCTGTGATAAATAATACATATGTAATATTAGACTATTTTCCAAACCTGCTACCATATTTATTCCATATGCAAACTATATACTAAACCACAGAGATTAGATACTTGATAGTAATTATCAGGCCGTGTTTGTAAAGGTTGCCATGTATTGTAGAAGCAATGGTTTTCTGTATGTGTGTGCTAGTAGGAAATTTAGTCAAGATTATATTCTCAACTAGCTACTAGAACCAGTCTGAGGGCCCACAGATACAGATTGTATTTATCTTCTTACAGCACAGGAGAGAAAATCAGCTCCTGTGGCTTCTCGTTCATAAACGTCTACCTCTTTAAATTTATATGTTTAATGTCTGCTCTGTGCACCACAGGAGCAACTGCAGGGAGTAAATAATTCTCTCTCCATCCTCAGACACATAAAAAAAGTAATTTTCTGCCTTTGTAACCCTGTTAATGGTCTACGTTTCCAGTCCAACATCCATGTGGAGGTAAGTCTCTCCCACTCAATCATATTGAGATTTTGTCCTTTTGGAGAGGTTAAGGAGGAAGTAATTATTTTCTTATGACTTGAGCTGATGCATGTTTTAAACAAAGTGTGGTCATGTTTTCTCTTTTAGGATTAGGTGTTACCTTTTGCAGGTAGCTGCAATTTCACAAAGCTCAGTTTTGAAAAACGATCATCCAACATGTCTGTTGTAACCATGAAGAAGCTCCTGGGCTGAGTAACACTGCAGCAGCAGTAGAGTACTTTTATACCCAAGTACATTTTTTTTCAAATAACACTTTCTGTGCATATTTTTACTTAAGTGAGATTTTAAATGTAGTATTTTTCAGTTGTGGTTGGGTAAAAGTAGCCTCAATTACCACAAGTGAAAGATCTACATATTTCACGGGTGCAGTGAAGCGCACTATATACAATTGGTCAGCTTTAGTTTTGGTTTTGCCATCGTTTTCTGATTTGGGGTTGTATAATGGGTTTCTTTCTTGTTTAGCCATCAGGCTTTAAGAGGCTAAGCTAATGATATAAATAAAGAAATGAGAAAAAAAAATGCATGGGAGTTGGCAGACACTGAACTGACTGGGCTGCTGAAAGCAGG